TGAGAATTTTTATGTGTTCTTCTTGGTTGCATACCTGAACAAATATCGTGGATTCTTTAAGAAATATTTTAAAGGACCTTCTGACAAACAAATTGGATTTATGATATTTTTAAAGGCATCTGGGAAAGATGTACAAAGTTTCGATTTTTTTGGAGTTTCTCTAAGCTAAAATCGCGATTTTTTGTGTATGTTCTTGGTAGGCCGGAAACTAAACAAAACTTAATCTAATAATTAAAAAAAAAAAACAATAAAAAAGCTGTAAGTTCAGCCGGGCCGTACTTTGAATAACCTCCACCATTTGGAACGAATTTGGCAATTCTAAAAAACAATAAAAAATCAGTAATAATCTAGCAAAAATCATCAAAATACCGAATATCGGGAGGTACCGTTATATGGGGGTATACGAAGACGTGGATCTGCACAGACAATTTTCTGTCATAAGCTGTTGTATCCATTACGACCTTCAAATACTAAATTTGAAACAATTCAGATGAGTAATGTCGCTAAAATCATCAAAATACCGAATATTGGGAGGTGCCGTTATATGAGGTCTATACCAAAACGTGGACGTACATGGCCCATTTTAAATACCAGACATAACGTATATTTGAATAAATTTTTATCAATCTACTTCAATTCGTTCGGAAGCTAGAGTGATTTCCACAGATGGATAGACGGACAGACGGTCGGTCAATGTCCGACCATCGCTAAATCGATATAGAATTTTATTCTGATCAAGAATATATATACTTTGTGGTGTCTAAAATGTATATATCGAGGTGTTACAAACGGAATGACAAACTTAATATACCCTCCATACTATGGTGGAGGGCATACAAAATTTTTTGAAGGGGGAGTACCTGCCCGCTCTATTTAGGTTACTTGGCGATGAAAACAATCACATAGACTAAATACGTTTCCTCTTGAAAATTAAATAAATAATAATTTTGTTGAACAGTGTTATTTGGAACATTTTAGGTCGATCAAGTCTATCATGCTGTTCGCTCACCTATGTGGCTCTTACGCACTGTAACTCTGGAAAAGATGTTTGTTCGATTTAAAATTTTCAATTCGATTTTTTATTCATATTTTGTTTGATATTCCGTTTGTATCGCTTTGAAATATTCATTTTAGACCTTACAATTTAGCCTTGTCCGTCCATCTGTTTATCTGTCCGTCGGTGGAAATCACTAGAGCTTCCGAACGAAATGAAGCAGGTTTTTAATATTTGCAAATGACTATTCATATAGATTCATCCGATACCACCTCTGATATTCGTTTTTATACCCTCCATCATAGTATGAAGGGTTTATTGAGTTTGCCATTCTGTTTGTAACACCCCGAAATATACATTTTAGACCCAACAAAGTATATATATTCTTGATCAGCATAAAATACTATGTCGATTTAGCAATGCCCGTCCGTTTGTCCGTCTATCCGTCTGTCCGTCTGTCAGTCTGTGGAAATCACTCTAGCTTCCGAACGAAATGTATTATGTCTGCAGGACTTTTAGTATTGAAAATGGGCCATGTAGGTCCACGTCTTCGTATAGCCCCCTTATAACGGTACCTCCCGATATTCGATATTTTGATGATTTTAGCGACATTATTTACCGGAATTATTTAAAAATTGGTATTTGAAGTTCGTAATAGATACTACAACCTATGACAGAAAATTGTCTGTGTAGATCCACGTCTTCGTATAGCTCCCATATAACGGTACCTCCCGATAATTTTTAGATTTTCACTTGTTTTTTTAGAAAATCACTTGAAGGATTTCCCTTCCAAAAATTTTGTATTTTTAATAAAAAGTTGTTGTTGGACCTTTCCACCAAAAATCGTTATTTCTTTAATAAAAATTGGCTTGTTGTTAAGATCGTGGAATTTTTATAAAGACTTATTGCAGGTTTTTTGCCCAAAAAAATCCTGGATTTTTAAGAAACATTTTTAGAGGGCTCTCTTATCGGAAAATGAAACTTTTAAAGACATTTTCTTGAAAGCATACCTAAAATAAATATCTTAGATTCTTTAAGAAATATTTTGAAAGCCCATTTGAGACAAATAGCGGAATTGGATTTTCTTGGAGGCTCCCCGAGCCAAAATCGTCAATTTTTTTTTAAGTGTTCATGGTAGGCCGGAAACAAAGAAATCTTAATTTAAAATTAAAAAAAAATGATCTCTTTGCGATGTAATCTTTCAACATGCCAAGTATAGTCCCCATATGACCGTAACTCCTCGTCGGTATTTTAAGGATTTTAACTAATTTTTATTGTAACAGCATTATATTAAACTTAGTGTTTGGAATTCGTAATAGGCGCAGACTCATTTGGCAGATAATTGGCAATAAAGCTTCAAGTTTTGTATAGTCCATATAACTGTACATCCCATTATTCCGTATTTTGATGATTTCAACAGAATTATCTCGAATTCGGTATTTTCCTAATACGCAACGCCCCCTCTGACAAATAATTCACGTTTTCATATTCGGAATTTCTAAATTTACAGCAGCATTTTAACGGACTTCAATTAGCAATTTGTTTCAAAATGGCGGAGGATTTTAAAGGTCAAGCCCGACCAAAGTAGGCTGTTTATACCCTACACCACAAGGTGGTCAGGGTATTATGTCTTTGTGCATTTGTTTGTAACAGGCAGAAGGAAACGAGATAGACCCATAGTTCCTTTTGATGATCTGCATAGAATCACATTCTGAGTCGATTTATGCATGTCCGTCCGTCCGTCCGTCTGTCCGTCCGTCCATGTATTATTGTAAACAAAGTACAGGTAGCATTTATTGCCGGATCCAGATGAAATTTTGCAAAGATCTTTTGTTTGGCCCAAGGACGATCCCTATTGCAATTGGAGATAATCGGTCAAAATTTAGATATAGCTCCCATATATATCTTCGTCCGATTTGCCTTTTATTGTGCACCAAACGTGTAATATCAGCCCGAATTGTATGGAATTTTGCACGTACGATCAGATTGGATTTGTTACTTTTGTCCTCCGCAGCCGTAATATGCACTCTGTAACAACAATATTTGGGGAAATATATCAAATGCAGCTGACAAATACCTTTGCTAAATTTTATCCAGATAGTTTCAGATTTGGATATAGCTCCCATTTATAACTTCGTCCGATTTACATTTTATTGTGCACCAAACGTCTAATATTTAGCACATACGACCGAATTGAGTCTAGAAGCTAGTGTGTCAAATTTGGTGAAGATCGGTTAAGATATAGCTATAGCTCCCATATATATTGTTCATCCGATTTGTTATTTTTGTCCACCGCCGCCGTAATATGCACTCTGCAACAACAATATTTGGGGAAATATATCAAATACAGCTCAGAAATACATTTGCTAAATTTTATCGAGATCGGTTCAGATTTGGATATAGCTCCCATATATAACTTCGTCCGATTTACCTTTTATTGTGCACCAAACGTCTAATATTTGTCCAAATGGGATGGAATTTGGCACGTACGATCATATTGGACCTGAAAATAAGTATGCCAAATTTGATCGAAATCGGTTCAGATATAGCTAAAGCTCTCATATATACTGTTCATCCGATTTGTCATATTTGTTACCCACAGCCGCAATATGCACTCCGTAACAATGATATTCAGGGAAATATATCAAATACAGCTCAGAAATATATTTGCCAAATTTTATCGAGATCAGTTCAGATTTGGATATAGCTCCCATATATATCTTTATTCGATTTCAAATTAATTGTGCACCAAATGGGCAATACAATTCCGAATTTAAAAGATACAAATGCTTCAGCATATTTAGTCCTTTGAACTTTTAATTAATTATATATCATGGCGTGTATGATTGAATTCTCCCATAAAAACTTTTAATTGTTATGTGGAGCTCTACTTAATTAACAAAGTGGTGTAGGGTATCATAAGGTCGGCCCCGCCCGACTTTAAGACTTTCTTTACTGGTTTTTACTTGTTTTTATTAATCTTTACTCGAAGATGAATCCCATTTGTGCTCTGATACACTCACAAAACTCAAAAAAAAAAGAACTGCAAAAGGATTAATATTGCATTTGAAAAATAAATATTTCTACATACCACCCAGAAAGGGGGAGGTAGATATTGAGTTTAATTTTTTCAAGTTCCTTATTCGAGGATAATCCTTTTGCCTAATTTTCATAATAGATAAATATTTAGATTAATTTAATAGTTAGAGTAATTCAATATTTTTATATTACCAATTTCCTTTCTGTCTGCCAAACATAAATACTTTGCGGCATTTCATATATATTTTAACTGTCTGCTCTAGTTATTTTCATTTTCTTGAAAAGCGACAACAACAAAGTTAATAAATCGAATTTATGTTGTTTTGCTGTAATGAATATTTTCTGTGTGACCCAATTTTCTACTCCTTGCCGTTTGACATGCGAATAAATTCATTGAATTTGTCGTTTTATGTTATCGGTTTCATGCTTTTTTAGTATCTTTCACTCTCTATCTCTGTGGTGGTGGTGGTGATGGTGTATCGATGTTATTGACGCCAATATTTATTATATGATATGCAATGAAACAGCAAATGTTGTGGGGATTGAAGTCGAGAATGCGAGAATTGAATTTAATCAGTAGAATGAAAATAATCGAAAAATATCACAAAAGTATGGGAAGTAGGAAAAATACAATAAAAGGCATTTTAAAACACTGAAATACTTGTTTTATATCTTCGATAAAATTATTAAGCTAAGCATGTAGGCCGTTTTTTGGCATTACACACCTCCTTCTGATCTTCCGGATTTCAAAGGTTTGGGTCGTTATTATAGGAATTATGACATTTTGAGACCCTTTTAGTTAAGTTTTAATGGTACCAACGGATTTATACCCCAGTAACCATAAACTGTGGGGAATAACTCATTCTAATATGGGGTATGACCATAGATATATGACGTATACTTAATATTAATAACACCCCCATGTAAAATACTAAATCCATTTCTTTCCCCTTTTTTCTCGTTACAGCTCTCCCGTGTTCTACGCAATTTCAATATTACAAAAATAAGTGATTTGGAATTAATATCGAATAGCACTGATCGCCTCGATATAACATTTCATTTCTTTGGCGTTAAGGGTGATTCGAATCGGATACGTGAAGCCATTACACGCATGGTGGAAAGGGGGCGTATCGGTAATATAACATTGGTTTCCAACTATCATCTATTCGATGAAAATCCTCCCCTAAATCTCTTGGTAAGTGGTTTGGCGTTGCAATAAAAATACAAAATAATAAAAATAAATTTAAATCGAGTTTTGAAAAACTATTTGTGATTTATATTCTCTCGATGTGTGTGCGTGCGTGCGTGCGTTTCGTTTCATTTGTTCTACTTTGTTGTTTCTTTCTTTCCTTTTTCGCATCTAGGATTTATCTGTCAATCAGAAACAAATAATACGTGAAGATAGTCAATTCATATTGTCGTGTACAGCTCAAGGATCGGCACGTATGCAATTCCGCTGGTATAAGGATGGTGTTGTTGTCAATGCCACCAAGGCAACCAGGTAAGTGATGGCTTTATTCGTTGGGATTATTGTTGGAAGGTTTTGGAAAAAACAAAGTTGGTGGGAATTTAGTGGTTTATGTACGTTGGGAAATTTAGAGGGATTTGTTTAAGAAGAGTGCTTGACTTTTTGAATCTATGGAAAAAATAACATGTTTTTAAGGACATATGCTTAGAATTCATTAAAATAGTTTTAATATGTGTTTGAAAACTGCCTTTGACTGAGAGTCGTATTTTCTTAATTTAAAATTTAGGGTATTACTAGAAAGTGCACGCAACTTCGTCAGCAAAAAGTCCTCCTTAAAATTTTAGATTCGTTCCTACAATTCTTATTAGGAATTTTTATTTTTAAAAAAGTACAATTTGTTCGCTTTGAGAAAACTTTTTAACAACATTTACTAAATCTCTAGAATTTTAAAGGTTTGTATTCAAGATTTTCCTTTCTTGGAAATAATAAGAAAATGTTTGCCTTTTTCATCTTTCATTTTGCAGGATATTAGTAAAACCATGGCAAAATAGATCCACATCCAATGTTTATGACCAAAATTATTTTAACATCTCAATATGTAAATGTTCAATATCAAAGTGACCTCAATATCAAATTTCAGCTGTAATCCTTCAATCCATTTAGTACGCATATTCAAAACAATCCACATCCCTCCATCTAAGACACCAACAGTGATCCAAATTTAGTTCCATTTAGTACTTTTTGAAAATTTATAATACGCATTTCCAAAATCATCACCAGATCTCAACACCAGATACCTACAGAGCCATCTATATCTAATTTCATGATTTTCACTCTATTCCTTTACCCCATGACAAATTTAGTACTTTTCGTACGATAATAGTACTCTTTTGCAAAACGAGGGATATCAAAAGAGATATCAAATCACCCCATATTTAAACCACAGACAACAATAGAGTCCCTCAATATCAAATTTGAGAATTTCATCTGAATTCCTTCATACTTCCAAACCCACCTCTAAATACCAAATGACGCCTCAATATCAAATTTTAGGATTTCAGCCCTATCCCTTCACCCAATACCAAGTTTAGTACCATTTGGTACTTTTGTGATGAACATTTCCAAAACCACCTTCATATCTCAATCCCAGATACCGAGACACCGAGACACTATCAAATTCCGCGATTCCATCTCTATCCCTTCACCCAATGCCCAATTTAACGCCAATTAGTACTTTTCGACCAATTTTAGTACACACCTCCAAAACCAAATCAAATTTTACGATTGTAGTTACATTTTTTCTATTTTTGATTCCTACTTCTTGAAATAGCAAATATATTACCATTTAGTACTTTTCTTACAATTATAATACACATTTCCAAAATCACCACCAAATCTTAATACTACCTACCAACAGAGAACTCAGTATAAAATTCGAGGATTCCATCTGAATTTCTTCACCTAATAACAAATATTGTACCCTTCATTACTTTTCGCATAATTTTGCTAAAGTTTTCCAAAACCGCCTGCATAGGTACAGGATGCACATGAACAGCGACCCAAATACCAAATTTCAGACTGCAAACACCATTTATTCACCCAATATAAAATTGTAACAAATTTAGTACTATTTAATATTTTTCGTGCACTTGTAGTAACATTTTCAAAACTTCTTTTTTGTCACAATCCTACCACAAGATTTCAAAATTCCAGCCTCATTCGTTGACCCTTGGCCAAACTGTCCCACATTTAGTACCATGTAGTACTTTCCGTACAAATATAAGACACATTACCAAACCACCGCCAAGTACAGATATAATCAGTAGTCTATATATCGAATTTCAGAATATTATCTCTATCCATTCACCCAGTACCACAACTTAGTACTTTTTAGTACTATTCGTACAATTATTTTCCATTTCCAAAAACTTCTACATATCTTAACTCCAGATATCAACAGAGACCTCAATATCAAATTTGAGGATTCCCGCCCCATTCCTTTAACCAATGCCAAATTAAGTACCATTTAGTATTTTTCGTACAAATATAGGACACATTACCAAACCATCGCCAAATCTCAAATACAGGTACCATCAGTAATCTAAATCTCAAATTTGAGAATTTTATTGCTATGCATTCACCCAATATCAAATATTGTACTATTCAGTACTATTCGTACATTATTAGAACAAATTTCCTAAACCACCTCCATATGTCGAGGCTACACATAAACAGTGACGCTTATACCAAATTTCAGATTTCACTCAAAATCACATTGTACAAAATTTGGTACTATTTAGTACTTTTCGTGCGCTTATAGTCTACATTTTCAAAAAACTATCTCTTTATCACAAACCCACCACTCAACAGGGACCCCAATTCCATTATTTCATTTTACCAGCTTCCCCCGTTCACCCAAAAAGGAATTGCAACAAGTTTAGTACCATTGTGTATAGTTCCCATATTTTGTTCACCATTTTTAAAACTAACTCCTTACATCAACCCCATTTCCAAGAATTTATACTCAATTTCAAAAATTTACCACTATCCGCTCACATAATTCCAAGGGGTACCAAATTTAGTGCATTTTAGTGCTATCGGTACACGTATTGTAAGAATTTCCATAAAACCCTAGATAGTTCGTCTATTCCACACAACATCAGAGACTCTCACATCAAAATTCTGATTTCCAACTTTACTCCTTCCCCAAATACCAAGCTAAAAACTATTTAGTACTTTTTATACTTTTTAGTACTTATTTCCAAATGGCCCGACCAAATCGCAAAAGAGGTGATTCATGTGCCAAATTTTTTGACTTGCAAATTAAATTCCTTATCCAAATTCCAAAATTTAGTACTTTTTAGTTTTTATTCCCAAAACCACCTTGAAATCTCTACCCTACACACTGAAAGTGATTCAAAAACCAAATTTAGTACTATTTAGTACCTTTCACATGCTTCTTAAGAGCATTTCCAAACCCAACTCTTTATCTCAACCCTACCAACCAGCAGAGACCCCAAAATTAAAATTTTAAATTACCAGATCAATCCGTTCAGTTATAACTAAAGTGTACAAAAATAAGTACCATTTAGAACTGCTTTTACACTTAGTACATATTTCTAAAAACACCTACTTACATCAATCTCATTACCACGAATTGATTCTCATACCAATTTTTTAGATTTTACCAGTATCTTTTCATATAATTCCAAAATGTTTCAAATTTAGTGCATTCTGGTCATGTTTTTTGTAGAATTCCCATAAAACCCTTTAGTTTTGCCTATTCTACACAACATCAAAGATTCTCACTCCAAATTTCAGATATCCTGCTCTACTCCTTGCCCAAATATAAAAGTTTATATTATGTAGTACTTTTCGTACTTCTAGTACGTATTTCTAAATCCACCACCATGTATCAACCAAATCGCATAAAAGCTAATCCTAATGGAAATCAATCCCTTATCCAAACAACAAATTTAGTAGCACTTAGTACTTTTTAGTAGTTATTTTAAAAACCACCTCCAAATGTCAAGCCTACGAAGTAACAGTGATCTTAATGTAAAATTTCAGATTTTAACCAGTATCCGTTCACGCCATACCAAATTCAGTACCATTTAGTGTCTTTTTTACGCTTGCTGAACGCATTTCCAATCCCAACCCTTTATTTTAACCCTATCCACAATTAGAGGCCCAATACCAACATATTAGATTTCCATATCAATCCATTTAACCAAAACCAAATTGTACCAAATTGAGTGCCATTTAGTACAGTTCTTACATTTTTTACACATTTCCAAATACAAATCCTAACATTAACCCGATTTCAAACAATTGATTCTTATATGAAATTTGAAGATTTTACCACAATCCGTTCACAGAATCCAAAATGATACCAAATGTAGTGAATTTTAGTAATTTTACTAAAGCCACTCTTAGAGTTTCGAAAAATCTTTTGGTTTGTCGATTCTACACAACATTAACAACTCTCACTCCAAATTTCCCATTTGCAGCTCTATTCCTTGCCCAAACACCAAAGTTAATACTATTTCGTACTTTTTAATATGTATTTCCAAATCTGCCGCCATGCGTCAACCAATCCGCACCAAAGGTTATCATAATACCAAATTTAGTACATTTTAGTACTTATATCAAATGTCAACCCTACCCAATAACTGTTATCCTTATGTCAAATTTCAGATTTTAAGCAGTATCAGCCCATGCAATACCAAACATAGTACTATTTAGTACTTTTTGTCCGTTTGCACCAATGGTGATCCTAATGCCAAATTTTAGACTTCTAACTCAATCTCTTTTTTAAATACCAAATTTAGTACCAATTAGTACTTTGTAGTAAGTATTTTCGAAACTACCTCCAAATCTCAACCCTACACACTAACAGTGATCCTAATGCCAAAATTAAGATTTCAAGCAATATCTGTTCACGCAATACCTAATTTATTACCATTTCGTATCTTTCGTACGCTTGCTGAAGGCATTTCCAAACCAAACTCTTTATTCAAACCCTACCCACCAGCGGAGACTGCAATATTCAAATTTTAAATTTTCAGATCAATCCTTTGTTACATTTAGTTGACATTTCTAAAATTACGTCCTTACATCAACCCCATTTTAAACAATTGATTCTCATATCAAATTTCAAAATGTTACGTTCACATAATTAAAAATGGTACCAAATCAAGTGTAATTTAGTGATTTTGGTACATGTGCTGCTAGAATATCAAAAAGTAAATTTGTTAGCGTATACTACACAACATCAAAGAATCTCACTCCAAATTTCAGATTTCCAGCTCTATTCCTTTCCCAAATTCCTAAGATATTACTATTTAGTACGTATTTCCAAATACGCCGGTATGTATCAACTAAATCGAATAAAAGGTAATCCTACTGTCAACTTTTAGGCTTCCAACACAATCTCTTATTCACATACCAAATTTAGTGCAATTTTGTACTCATTTTCAAAACCACCTACAAATTTCAACCCTATACACTTACAGTGATCCTAATGCCAAATT